AACTACGTTAAATGGTTCGTGAAAGTTGCTTCTATCTTAAAATAATGATTTCAGTCGAAAAAAATCGTAGCTTGAAAAGTTATACAGGCTTTATTGAATTCACAGAAAAAGAAACAATTTTTGAACATCCATTTTAACTAAGAAACGGTGAACAAACAAATCTTCATGGAGAAGAGGGAAAATATTAAAGTAATTGGTTGAATGCAATCATAAATTGTCATAGCATTGGACGGTTTTGCCTCTTATAAATTAAATATTCATGATTTGCAAAACGCAAAGATTTGAAAAATTACTAAAATCAACGTTTGAACTTTAGATAAAGTTGTATTTGAACTTCACTTCATTGTTTTCAGTTAAGAACACTCAGGAATTGATCTATTTACTTATCTGTAAGCAAATAAATTTCTTATCCATTCAAAACTTTTTGGTGCTCCATCACTTCACTGAAAACAATTTTTTGTCGGTCTAAGCGAATTTTTAGTTAAGAAATTTTGATGTATTTAGTACAAAATATGTTTTGGTATCAAATTTGGGTGATGAATTCTTTCAAAAAGAAATCAGTTATTGTCAAATTTGATTAATTGAAACGAAATTACAATTTAGTAAATGCCTAATCTCATTAATAACATATCTGAGGTGGTCTTGCTATGCGCAATCTGAACTTTAAGGTCAGAAAAAAGATGCTAATGGTGCTGACACAAAACAAATGTAAATAAATTAAAGTTTAAGATATGTTTAATGATTAAGCACAACTTTAATCAGATTAACAGGCGAATTCCACCGATGTTTTCTTAAACGTTTGGGAGAAAAAAAAGTAACAGAAGTAGTTTTTTTCTCATTCTTACATTTTAAATTTACATTACATGGGTGTAGCAATTGTACATTTTACATTTACATTACATGGGTGTAGCAAGTGTTGAATAAGTAAAGATACACCAGATACAGTGATACTGTTACCAAGTGAACGGTACATTTGTTTTACTGAAATTTCTGGTGGTTTCATAAGAGTTGCTGGAAATCCTAAAAAATTGACCACTTCACGCCAAGAAAGATAACGGATTGGAAGCATCGCTTATTTTTTGATTATAATGATGGAAGTTTATTTATCATATTGGATATATCAAATTAGAATTTAAAAACTTTAAACCAAGCATTTATTTAAATTTAGTATCGTTATTGTATATATCAAATTGGATATTGAAGCATTTAAATTACACAAGTATTTATGATGTCACAATGTAAATGCATGTGCCTGTCATTTCTATACTAGATATATAGCATATTCCTTTATTGTTTGCCAAATAGTCCATCGTCTTCACAAGGTTCATGGAGTGTGGGTACACACCATTTGTAGCTCCTAACATATTTCTTTCCTGGAAGTGACAGTATACACGTCTCGCCTCGTGACGTAATATATCCCTATCACTGCAGTACTAATAGCCTCTGAAAGTAGCTCATTGTGTTGCTTCTTGTTTAGCTCTGCATAACCAGCTTTCTTTGCTTTATCGCTCATTTAAAAGCGCAAGGAACAAGCATATTTATTTTAATATATACCGTGATAAACATTATAATTTATAGTAATTTTTTCTGGTAAGTACGAAATGGAACTACCATAATTATTAAAAAATATACCATTCGATTATAATGTTGAAGATTGAAATTACTGTAGTTATTTTCTTGAATATACCAAAGCTACGGGTCAATTGTATCAAAGTTATTTGAAGTCTCTCTAGTACTTTTATATTGTAAGAACATCACAAACACTTCAGTAATTTATTTACGCCATGCAAAAAATTTTTAAAACTGTAGCTTACTTAGATTTTTGGAAAATAATTCTGAAGTATTTTAAGTTATGACTATCAGTTTCTAGAATCTTATTTTATGTTTACGTTATCGTTATAACAAAATACTAGCTCTGCACAATCCAGTTTTGGCAGTGACAGAATAAAATCGGAGACCAGGACCAAACATTTTAATACACATTGTTTGATCTCTTGAAATACTGAAGCTCGTTGACTAAACAAAATTAACCCAAAAACGAAAATTTATAATGCTTAGAATTAGCATAAAATATGTAGCCCCTTAGACTAATTTTCGCTGATCATAAACTATGATGCATAACTACAAATGTTGTGCGGTAAGCTGTGATTTTTTGCAGACGTTACACTGAGTGAATGAATGTAGCGTAAAAGATTCGGAGAATGGAGTAAAGACTGAGAATTAGTTTTATCTCTCATAAATGATTTTTCTTGCTTTCTTGACCTTGACCTCAGTGCCCACTATTTCAAAAATCAATTGTTTTTTCATCTCTGCGTTTATTTGACAAAATTCAATCTAAAACATCCATATTTTCTTCTCACTAATTTTGATCACTCATTGTGTAAGTCTGTCATCATGTTCAAGTGTTTCTCTGTTTCTGAAACTGATCAACTGTGAAATGAATTCTAAGATTTATGAAGATTTTCTCATCAATCTTCTATTGTTTATAGTTTTCAATTTTTTAGAAGCGCTAAGACATTTTTTTTCGAAAATAGAGTGATTTACTTTTGAGAGGTGAGAGTGATGGAAAAATCGTTCAGCTACTGAAGTGTGCTTAATTTTTATTTTTTCACTTTTTTTTCGAATCCTTACAATTTATCTTTTTACTTGTCAGACCACTGTTAGCTACACTTTCAATAGGTCGTGGCAATTATGATTTACGTTAATTAAACACTTAAATATGTCATACCTGGCATTTTAAATAACTAATTCAGCGTAGTGTGGTCTGACACGAACAGAAAACAACTGCAAATTATCAAATGTATAAGACTAGTAAAGCAGTAAAGAGCTTAAGTGTGTGGCAAAACAGGCTTAAAAAAATTCTTAACGAAAAATAATGAATGTCTTGACTAGCTTTTCATTGTTTATGTTCCCATCAGCACGTCAATCCAAAGTTTCGCACTGCATTTCATGTACATATGGTATGGAATTGTTGCTGACTCACTAGGTCTGTGCATTATGAATTTATAATCGGTACAGCATGCGAACACATGTCGACATAAGATGCAGGATTGACTTGACGATATGTCAACGTGTTTGACTGTCTGTACGTCCAAATGCGTGTTATGTCTATTTAATCTTTGTGAATGTGTGTGTGACTGCTTGCTCATTCCGAATGTGTGACGTGTCTCTTCGTCTGCACTCGTTCGTATAGCTCACTGTCTGTATGTCTGTGCATCAGTAGTGAAGTGGTAAATACAAATGCTTTGTGGCAGTGGACATGGGGACTGTTGTCGGAACCGCGGCAAAGTTGCGTCTTTGAGTCCATTGTCTATTTTTTCTGTACTTACTGCAAATTGTTGTTCCCCATCTCTTTCTTATTAATGTGTGCATTCGCAAATTATCAAATTCTCAAAGAATGAGTGGTCAGTTTGTGCGATTTGTCATTCATTTATTTGCTCGTTTCGTTAAATTGCTTTTCTGCTATGTCTGCGCATCATTTCCATCATTCTTATATGTATGGTGCACTTTCGTAGTCTAGTCTCTATGGTGCCCTTTCGTAGTCTAGTCTGTATAGGTCCACTGTCGTAGCCTTTTCGTAGTCTAGTCTTTCACGCCTTTTTTTCAAGCAACTAATTACGTGTTTAGGTGGAGTAGTGTAGTAGTGTATGTTTTGTAGATAGAATGGATGATGCAGTTAGTATACGTGTAGTCAAGTGGCTGTGATGACTACCTCGTGTAGAAGACTGCTCATTTGTTAAAAAAAATTAGTGATTTATTTGTTTACATAGCTATTTATTGTGAGCGGTTCTATTATTCGTTTCAATGTGCTCTTGTTAAAATTGAAATTGTGACAGATAAAGTGTTCACTCACTTACTGATAATATACTGAGAATTTTCAGTCTTCCTCTTTGTAACTCGGTTATTCTTCGCATTTGTAAGTTCCGTTATTCTAATACCAAACTGTTTGTTCTGTGGAATTTTCTCGACGAAAGCTCCCTGACTTAATTGGTAATCTAATGTCTACAGTCTGCATGTGCTGGATAGAAGGAGCAGTGAAGAGACAGACATGGGTGAGGTTGGGTTGTGATGTGATGGATACAGTGTGAGGAGTACATGTGTTGCTCGCTCGGTCCGGGCACCGGCTGTTTTGCAGCAGTACAGATTTGGTGGTAGGAATGGTCATACATTTCTTTCCATCGTGTTGTTGTGATATGCCAGTAATACTTTAATAGTTGCAATTCATCGATTCGTATAATTAACTATTCCGAATTATGCGGTAATTATGCACTTGCATTACTGTTTTTGAATAATAGTAATTGTATCTTTTAGATGCATATAAGTATTTCAGTGCAAGCAAAATATTTTGCATCATTTCTATTACTCTGAATGTTTCACATTCTTAGCGTGCTGTGAAAATATTGTATGTGATAGAAATAATGCAAAACATTCATTGTGTTCCTTTCAATAGCCATTTTGACTTGCAGTCTCACTAAATTCATTCTCCCACTGACGTCACTGTATAATTACTCTGCAGACTAGCATTGCATTGATGGAGAAATCTAAAGTTCTGTCTTCACAAAAATTATTTCTTCACCTCTTTTTCGTCTCGTCTGGTGTCTAGCCTCTTTTTCATGTAAATTAACAGTTTCTGTATAACGTACTATGACTTTTTCATTTTCCAACTAACTGAGCTGTGACATAAAACTGCATGTTTTTGGATTCGAAAATAGCTTTACAATTGCGCCTGTTTTCAATTTTCTGAGTACTATCTTAAATTTTCTAAGTTAGATAGAGAAGACACTTAGAAGATAGAGAAGTTAACTCAGCGATTATGACTATTATCACCGTATAAAATATTAAGAATGTAATTAAGGCCTCACTTCATTATGCAAATTAGCATAATTTGCGGTCACTAAGTAGGCCTCATTCTTGTTGTTGTAATATGCCAGTAATAGTTTAATAGTTGCAATTCATCGATTCGTATAATTAACTTTTTCGAAGTATCTGGTAATTATGCACCTGTGACTTTAAAAGTGTGACTTTTTTAAAATAATTTCAAATTTTAGTTTGATACTTGCGAATTTTATAAGAGGCATTTATATATCATCGCTATGGTTCTTAGCAGGAACCTTTTTTGTCTTAAAAGATCTCCATTACAGGTATCTAAATTTTTTGTCTCGGATCAAAATATCTTACTTAGTAAACAATTAATATGTCAATTACTTTCATAAATTTGTCTTTTTTGTAATTACTAACATCAGTATTTAACTGTTAACTATAGTACAACCATTTTACTGCAAAAACTAGAATTTTGCAGTTCGTGCAAGCGTGTGTTCGTTATTCGACTGCATTTTCGACTACGAATTTGAAAGATGTAAAGTTTTTTGTGCATCTGAAGATATTGCATTATTTTTCAAAAAAACATCGGGACACATTAGTGACATTTTTTAGAAGTGCTCTTTCTTCTTAACGAAACTAGCATTGTTTCTGAAATAGCTGAGTCAGAGTAATATATTAAAAATTAATTGCTCACGAATACTATCGTGTTTTTGGAACCTGAATTTGCTCGATTTTAGGTTCTTGCTAACAAGATCTCGGCCCACAACGAAAAAGTGAAGGCATTTCGAAAACAGCATGGTTCAACGGCAATTCAAAATGTGACTGTGGATATGCTTTACGGTGGGATGAGAACACTGAAGGTTTGTCTACTTCTGGGAAATAAAATTGATGCATATTTTTCATGTTGTTAACGTAACTTTCTGGGCTTCAAAAAATCGATCTTATTTGACTCTCTTTCAAATTATTACGTGTTAATACAGAATTACAGATGTTGTGAAATTAATGTGTTTTTAAATTAATAAAATTTAAGCCCTTATCGTTTTAAGGAATATTATTTTAAGAAAAATGATTGTAGACAAAATCCTATCATTTGTAAAGGCACTACGATTCGAATCTTAATGCATGTTATTTGCTGTGAAACAACTTCAGGCATTAGTAACTGAAACGTCGGTCCTAGATCCGATTGAAGGCATACGCTTCCGGGGTTATTCAATACCAGATTGCCAGAAATTGTTGCCGAAAGCCAAAGGTGGTGAAGAGCCGCTACCAGAAGGCATGTGGTGGCTTTTATGCACTGGAGATATTCCAACTGAAGCTCAAACAAAAGCATTGAGGTACGTCTTCTGCTTATAACTATAAAAATGGACTTTTCTGGAGTATTCTGCATTCACAAAAGTTTTTTTGTTGGTTTTTGAAGAGTTATTTTGACCTAGCTACTGCAACTTATAGTACCATTTAATTGAATTGTGCATTTATTTTTCCGATCACAGTTGAAATCATGAAGGTCAAGAACATCATTCATTAGTGAATTGGCAACGCTTGCCATTTATATTTTGTCCCATATTTGTCATTTAGACTAGAAATTCTCTGTAAATAATATGTATAGTACTGGGGGGAAAATTAATTTTGAGTATTCGGTTGTCGTTTTCAATTTTCAAGTAATAATTCCTTTGGGAGTGTTTTGTTTTGATTTCAGTGAAGAATGGGCAGCTCATGCAGATTTACCAAAACATGTAGAACAAATGATCTGCAATTTTCCAAATAAATTACATCCTATGTCGCAGTTTGTTTGTGCTATTGCAGCACTTAATTCTGAAAGCAAATTTGCTGAGGTAAGTTATTTTTTTTGTTTACGTACAATTCGCTTCATGTAAGAGTTGAGAATGTTTGAAAATAAAGTAATGTATTGTTTTTGCATATGTGAAGCTCATTATTTTTCGGGCATAACTTATATAATTAATCAACTTTTCTTCTTCTTTGCAAGTATCATATAAATTTGTGGTAGCTGCAAAACCATTTTTTTTTAATAAATCAAGTATGATCCTTTCTTTGTCCTTTAATTTGTGCCTTGCACAAAATATAGGCCTATCGTAATGGAGTACCAAAAGCTAAATACTGGGAGTTTGTGTATGAAGATTCGATGAGACTTATTGCAAAATTGCCAACAATTGCTGCACTCATTTATCGGAATTTGTATAAAGATGGTTCGTTTGCAAATTACTGGAGTAATCCTCAGTTGTAGCATTCATTGAAGAATAAAAACATTGAAGAAACATTTAGTGTTTATTATTATTTGTCTCTTTAAATTAAATACCTCCGGATTATTCAAGTTTGAAAAAAACACTTTGTAGTTTCCGTGGCTTTTCGAATAAATCTTAGTTTACAAAAATTTGAGTGCCTATAGATTTTTTTATAAAAATTTGTAAAATTTAACCTGTGAAATTTCAGGAACCCTGGCTAGTGCAGTCAGTCCATCATTGGACTGGTCTGCTAATTTTTCATCCATGCTTGGTTTTAAGGATCCTCAGTTTACGGAATTAATGCGTTTATATCTTACTATCCATGCTGATCACGAAGGAGGCAATGTTTCGGCTCATACTTCGCATCTAGTCGCTTCTGCTCTATCGGATCCATATTTGTCATTCTCCGCTGCAATGGCTGGCCTTGCTGGACCTTTGCATGGTCTTGCTAATCAAGAGGTATATTATTTCAGCTCTTTGCTACATTGGAATAGAAGTTGTATTTGAGAGCATTTTTCGTAGCTCTAAAAGATTTTTTTAAATATGTTTCATGAGTGAGTTATTGCTTATTTGTTAAGTTGCTTTTTGCTATTTTATAAATATGTCTTCTACAATTTCGTACTGACATTTGTATTCGTGTAGTCATTTTTTAATCAGTAAATCTTTTTTTACGCCGTAAATTTCTCGTAGGTGTTGGTATTCTTGACAAAGTGTAAGAAAGATTTGGGAAATAATTATACTGATCAACAGTTATGCGATTGGATATGGAGTCATTTAAAAAGTGGGCAGGTAAAATATGAAATCTTTTTTGGGCAGGTGTTCAATTGTTTAGAATTTTTTTGAAGAGTGTTATCTTTCATTTCATGTTTTTTAATCCGGATATCGATTACCAATTAATTTAGTATTATATTCTCATTTGAGGTGGTACCAGGGTATGGGCACGCTGTTTTACGTAAAACAGATCCGCGATACGTATGTCAGCGAGAATTTGCTTTGAAGCATCTGCCGAATGATCCTATGTTCCAGCTTGTTTCAAACATTTACAAATTTGCACCTGATATTCTCATAAAGCAAGGAAAGGTGTGACGAAGTTGAAATTCTGCTTTTCAACCTGCATTCATTTTTGTAGTTTTAACATTCAATTATTAGAAGTATTAATATTATAGTTTTTTTGAATTGTAGGAAAAAAAAGTTCAAGGGTAGAGGAGTACAGTTCATTTATCAAAAGTGTGATTTTAAGCATATCATTATAACTGTTACTTCAGGCTAAAAATCCGTGGCCTAATGTTGATGCGCATTCTGGTGTGCTGCTACAGTATTATAATATGAAGGAGATGTCATTTTACACTGTACTTTTTGGTGTATCTCGTGCTCTGGGTTGCTTATCACAGATGATCTGGGCCCGAGGTATGGGTCTGCCAATCGAACGTCCTAAATCTCATTCAACTGATGGCCTTCTAAAAATAGTGGCAAATGTTAACTAAGAAAGAATTCAGAAAGGTAAAAGAATGACGCCATGAAGGACATATTAATGACCTTTCCGTATAATCTTCATTTATTAATTGCTGAACAAAATATTATATCTTTCTTAAACAACTTTTATTTTGCATAAATAAGAATCATCTTTAATTTCTATTTTATTTTTGGAGAACAAATTTTCGGAACGTGAATTCTAAAATTCCATAGTATTGTGTGTTATACTCAAAAATTTCAGTGCGTACTCTTATGACTTACATTTCAATTTTAGTACTGGGAAAGAAGCTGAGTTATCGGTTACCAGTTTTATTGTTTTACGGAATGGTTCTAAATTGTATTTGGACTGAATTTTCTGCAATCGGAACATGGTCATTCAAGATATATCCTTTTTCTTTGTATTTATATTTGTTCTTACATGCTCTTTATTTTACTGTTGTTTGAATAAATTCTTCACTTGATTTGTGATATGGGACCAGATATCATACGTAGGAAGTGTGGTTCGAGAATTCCTGTTCCAATTGTGAAAAAACTGTAAGAGTACTGAAAAAAATTTATTAGATTTGTGACAAATATATTCACTGATTACATCCTCGAAGATGTGTAATATCGTCGGTATTCATCATATGGACGTGATGGTGGTGGTTGGTGGTAATAGTGATCTCTTCGTTTTTCTTCGTAAACATATGTATCTGACCGCTCTCGTGGACTTCTTGATTCTATTGGGAGATCTTCAATTTTTCGTTCTTGAAGCTATTTGAATTGGGTTAACAAAAGAAGATATTGTTGGGAATAGCGTAGAGATTAACTGTATGGTTTTGTGATGGAAGTACGTTAACTTACTGCATAAATTAGCAATTATCTAATAACATGTTTTTGAGTGGAGTCGATTCTGAAATATTGAGAAATAAAAAAGGCTAACTTGATGTGGCAGTCATCGTTGGTTGAACAATTGGTTGCTGTTGAGCATAAGAATTAGTACTAATTGGTGAGTTTGTGGTGGTTTTATTACGTGACTGTTTACGTAAACCAAACCAACCAGCAAACCAGATCCCAATTACACAAATGCAAGGAATTAGACAGCACATGAACATTGCTATTACTATTAAAATGCCAAAAATTATGCGAATCCACTGACTGCAAAAATTAATATCCTTTTTATTAACATTAATTCTTGTAATTACTTGCAGTTTCTTCTCTACTCGCAATTATTGTTCTCATCCAGTATTAACTAAAGCATTAAATTGTCTTCTAAATTTGTAGGAAGTAAAAATATAAAATTTTATCAATACAAAAGTTATCGTGGTATCTTAATCTCAAAAATAAAAGTAGTGGTTACTTTTATGTATTCAACAAAGTGACGCATTAAAGTGCCATTAATTACATAGATTCCGCGTTAATAAAAATGTTCATCAGGTAGAAAAAGTAACTGAAACGTACTATCCGTATCCATAATATCCATCATAACCATAGCCATACAGTAACTGCCTTCTGTAACGAGAATTTGCGATATGATATGAAAGAGTAGTGAATAGATTTGGTATGGTAGGAGCTGTCGAATTTGGTACCATTAATCGTTGTTTACTCGAATAATGAACAAAAAACTGAATCATGATTATTTTCACAAAATGACACCGATGTTATAGCGTTTGGTGTCGTAGTACGGTAATTTATAATTTGCATTTAAAATTATAGCATTTTTTTTTATTACTGACAGAATGTAATGACTAACTGAAGTAATAAGTGATAAGATTAGAACAAATGTGTCATATATTTATTATATATATTATACTATACTTACGCGACCTTGAACAATACGTACCAATGACTAGGCTTATAGTTTTACAAAAATTACTGAAACAAAACTTCTCGAAAGTTTCGCTTCCATCACTTCCATCACGAGCTTAGTCACTGTCATACATTACTTTTTTGAAACTTATTTGTTTTTAGAATGCAACTAGCAATGCCAGTTTGTTCATGCAAGCATTACCATGAAGTTGGTAGTAAGTACTACTTGGTATGATCTACTGATGAGGTGACTGATTTCTGTATTTAATTTTGATCTTTTAGTTAATAGCTTTGTACTCACGTCTAAGTGACCACTAACTTTTGCAGAAAGTGTAAGAAATTCTATAGCAATCATTTAAAAAATTCATCACAAAAATTGATGATTTTGAAAAATTATATATATTTTTTCAAAATTACATATATATATATAT